AAATGTTTCTTGGGGAATGGGCTGGTTTTGTGACACTTCTCGATGAGGGGAGGGGAGAGTTGAAACATTTCAATCCTGCCACTTTGATTTCATTTGGACTTGTATTAAAATGTGGATTTAAATATTCTGTTAATGTGATGTGTATCTAGGCCACTTAATATTGCAATATAAAAGTTGCACTGAAGTGACTTATTGAAACATTTAGTTTTTTACCCCCAAATTTTGATTTTTGGGAGCATTTGTCTTGTGGGAACTTTAACATTTCTGACTTTGCTCCGAACTGGAACAAAATGTTGTTGTAACGGTTGGAGTTTCCTACAGAAGGGGAATTCTGTTAACTGACCAGCATGAATTGTGACGCTTAATTCATTAGCATGTACGGTCCTTCTATAGACAGTGTTCTAGAGGTGCACAGTATTATTTAGCAGGCGTGAACAGGATTCAACAGGTTATATGTCCCCAGAGGGTGGAAGCGTGGTGCTGGACAGCTCTGCCTGTCCACTGCTACAAAACAACAGGGGGATACACCAGAAATGTAGGGTGGGATACAATTGGGTATCTGGCTTAATGACCCATTTCTTGCTGCGTTTATTACCTCTGAAATTTACCCCTTGGGGGGCCTGTACCTTTAAATAGCAAGGAGAGAACCTGGAGCATCTTGTAAACCGCTTCACAAGACGAGGGCGTCAGCGGCGCATAGCCATACATGCAAGGTGTGTGCAGCACAGAGATACATGCATGTATGAGAGCAGAGCCAGATTTCTCTGTGCCATACCACGCCAACCCCAGCGGCTTTGAAAAGGCACGTGGCATGGCTTTCCAGAGCCCCCTGGGTTTGTCTGATCAAACTGAGTTGTTGTGACATTCACAACACTGACCCAGTTTCATCTTGCAGGAATGCTGTCCGCCATGTACCAGGAAACGGATACAAATGTCCTATAGCCCGACTTGGTTTACCCAGAAAACTAATTTAGGGAATAACAGCTGTGCCCATGAACTGGCTTAACTGCCAAAGGCTAGTGACGAACTGACCCGGGACCTCTAATAGTTATTAATTAATATCTTAGCTCATAAATGACCCATGACACTGGAGTTATTAATGCAAATTAGAGTTAAGAGCTGGCCCATGACTAGTTAATAACTGACTAAGGCCCCCTGGGTAACTGATCTTAAAATGGCAAATTTGCTACTATTTGCTACATGTGAATTATGTATTTGGTGTGCTATGCTACTAGGCCAAAATCCTGGGCTAGTGGGAGAGAAGGAATTCTCCCCTCTATCTTAGGTTCTTCTATGGTCCCCCATGACCGTGATATCCGAGGTCCTGGATAACCACACCAGCAAAGCCCAGGAGAAGTCATTTTAGGGAACAACAGTCCATGCACATCCCTGTAGAACAATTGATCCCAAATCCTCTCGGGTACATCTGTGAAGCTCGGAGTGCTGGAGAGGAGAATTTGTCCCATTGTTTTAGCTATATTGAAAGGGTCCTGTTGGTTTCGGGTCACGGCCCTGGGGTATGAACACTGCTTAGGGACACTTCCACAGTTTATTGTCTGCAAGGCGGTTTTCTGGGCTGTATAATTACCGTGGGCAGGCCTGGCAGCATCTGCCTAAATCGCTTTGTTCGCTGGCATTGATCCTGCTGAGAGAGGAGTAGGTGGGTTGTGTTAATGCTCTGATGCAGGTGGCTCTTCAGCCCAGCTGGGTGCAAGGGAGGTGGGAGTGACACTCTAGGGGTGGTAGAGGATCAGAGCTGAGCAGGCTGGAGAAGGCCCAAGCCTTCAGAGCAACGGAGCCTGCCGAGAAGGATTGAGCTAATCTTTGTTCTCGTGTTGCTGTTTTTAATAAAGTCAAATGCTCCGGGGGGAAGGGGGGAGTTTGGACTTTGCAGAGTGTGTGGACTGTGTTTGTATAGCAGGCTGGGATTGGGAATGACACCAGCTCATCTACCTATACCAACAGCAAAATAACAGCAATATTGGCCAGGACAATCTAGTAAACAGGAAGCCTAGAAATCAGAGCTGAAATAAACCGAGAGTAACATTGAAAATCTCACTCTTAGGTACCTTTGGGAAAGGTTTTTAGGCACCAAAGTGCCTAAATCCCATGGGAGGTGCCTTTGGAAGGCTTGCTAGATGCCTGTCTGCATTGCTAGATACCTGAATCGCTTTGAAAATCTGGCTCTTAAGCACGTCCCTTCCTAAACTCCATTGACTTTCAATGAGACTTAGGCTCTGAAGTGCCCAAATGGCGTCTGAAAATGGGACTGAGGCACTTAAATCACTTAGGCACTTTTGAAAATTTTGCCCCTACTGGGGTTGGGCCCATCTAACACACTGTTCCGTACTGTCTGGTTTCTAGTTTTCACTGTCTCAGTATAATAACCCCTGCCCTTCGATATCCCCCAAATCTTAACCTCTGGCCATAGGTTTTCATCCAGGTTCAGCCCCCCAAACCTCTTTACATGAAATCACGGGAAACTGCATGCTGCAGTTCACTGTCCACATGCCCTCGCATGTCAAATCGGCTCTGATAACAATGGAACTGGGCCCCTTCGCTGGTGCCTCGAGATGAGCAATAGATTGTTGTAGCCCGGCTGTGTATTTCTCTGTAATATTGACTTAAACTAATAATTCCTAAATAATCTAACAGAGAGTGGGCTCAGTCAAGCCAATGCACTCAGCATAATGCATCAGTAATACCTTGCAATCAGCTAAACTGCTGTGTCCCGGAGCATAAAATCCCTTACCGTATGCCTCTGTACGTGCAAGAGATGCCAAATTCCGATTTTGGGGGCTGTCTTGAAAACACAGTGGGCCTAATTCTGCTCTCAGCTATGCCGCTGCAACTCCACTGCTGCCGCTGGAGTTGCGCTGGTGCAACTGGGAGTAGGGTTTGGTTTGGCCCAGTCTTTCTCAAAGGACAAAGGAACACAAGAGGCTAGAATGTTCCCCGGCGTCAACCTGATTTATTGTATTGGGTTTGTTTCCAAGGAGTGGGTCAGAGAAGTCCAGGGTGGCGGCGCTGTTAGCCACAGTGTGCTCAGCTGTTGTCTGACCTAGGATTCAGAGATTCTCTGCCAATTCTGGCCCTCTCCCCTGCAGATGGCCTCTGTGCTGGAGGGAACTCTGAAGGTGTTGGGGGGTGTCTCATTTAAAATTTCCCCATCAAAACAAAGAGGCCAGGCTGGTTTCCCTGTCTCAGATGGAGTTCTCCTCCTGGACACAGCTAAATCATGAGTGGCAGAGATGACTTATTCCCCGAGGCCATCAAAATACTGCCCAGGAGCCAATGTTTGCTTTCTCTGCGAGTGCCCGCCCCCCGTAGTGTGACAGGCTTTGCTGCAGGCGAGGAGGGATCGGCTTTGTTAGATTCTTGGCAGCACGTCGCTGGGCTGTCTGCAGAAGAGTCACCGTTCAGGATCCTTTCCAATTGTTTTGTCAACCAGCGAGTTGCCGCGGAGGAGCCATGTTGCTTTTGAGACGCCACAAGCACATCACAACTTCGCCTCCGTGGCTGGCGTGAGATTAATATCCTCTCTCCGACTCAGAGCTGAGAGTGTAAACGCCTCTGGGGGGAGATGGTGTCTTCATCTCCTCAGCAAGGTGCCAATCCCCCCTCCAGCGCAATAAACGTGTCAGGGCCCGAGCCGCGCCTAATGGAAGTCCATGACAAGACTCTTCTTGATTTCTTCAGTGGGGTGTTGATCAAGCCTTTAAAGATTAATAACGATTGCTAATCAAGGGTGGTTTGGCTTACCTTGGGCTTGCAATACCCGTTCACTGCCCTCCATCCAGACACGACAGCCCTTCCTCGGGGGTTTTCCAAGCATTGCCGGCACTGGCTGGTTTTGAAGCCTGGGACAAAGTCTTTGTAGTAGCTCAGTTCTGGCTGACCTGACACAGTCAGTGATGGTTTCTTCCCAGTGTTGATGGGAAGCTCCGAGCATTGCCACGGCACTGGGTCAAGTGGTTTTCCGAACTCCCTCCCACAATGCAGTGCTTAGTGTTTTAAAATTACCCAGAAGCCCCTGTCTGCAGCAACAGTGCTGGGCACTTGGGGGAAAGGTGCCCCATGAATGCCAGAATGACAGGGGAATGGGAAGGATACTTCTATCTGTTGAAGTTTTGCAGCATCACAGGAGACACAGCAGCTATTCTGTTCATTTGATGCCCCTGCCGTAACTTCATAATTTGGTATAGACACGCCCTAAGGACCACATTATGCCAGGTCTAATCAGGTGCCATTCATGGTCTTCAGCTGAGTTGCACTCATGGACACCAGGTCTGAATTTGGCCTTTAGCGTCAAAGGACACTAGATGCTGCATGAAACCAGGAGGCAAAAACCCATCACATTCTATGCAAGATGGCCCCCAGAGTTCCTTCAGCTGGAAACATGGAGAGTTTTTCAACAGCTGGCGGAGTGCCAAGTGACCCCTGATGGAGAGTGCAGGGAACGGAAATGTCTCGGCTCAGAGGGGCCATGGGACTGAGGAGGCTGACCCTAGAAATCTCTTAACTCGGAGGAGCCCCAGAATGCAAGGAGTGCAAATGTTCCAGCTCAGAATGCACTCTGGGATGAAGTGCTGACAAGCATTGGCTCCCTGCCTATAACCTTAAAGCAAGCAATATAGATTTGTGTGTGATTCCCAGCACACAGTTCCCCCACCCCACCCCCAGCCAAGTGAAATGGAGGCAATCTGTCTGTGTGAATCTTGGGCCCACAGGGGTATGCTAGATGGAGTTTAATCGGGAGTGAGAAGATTGGGATGGGTTTGTTTTGAATAGACACATGCCCAGTCCCTACATTCTGATCTAGAGAACGATCCAGAACTGATGTTCCTAGACTTTGGAGAGGGGTGGGCCTGGCGCTCCGTTTCTGGCCTGGCATTTGATGATACCCCTACACGCTGGAACCGGGTCCATAATCCTGTGACCAAGGATGGAAAATGTATCCTGTATTAGTGATGCAATTTCTGTCTCTCTCTGTCATGCAGCCAAAGCCTGAGAACGCAATAACAATCGCAGTGTCGTCGCGGGCTCTCTTCCGCATGGAGGAAGAGCAGAAGATTTACACAGAGCAAGGGGTGGAGGCATATGTGAAATACCAGCTGGACCATGAGAATGAACCCTTCCTACCCGGCGCTGCCTTCCCATTTGTCAAGGTGAGCACCATTGCGCCAGCCCCCTGAGATCCTTTGCTAGGGTGACCAGAGCGCAAGCGTGAAAAATCAGGACGGGGGTGGGGGTAATAGGAGCCTATATAAGAAAAAGACCCCAAAATCGGGCAGTCCCTATAAAATCGGGACATCTGGTCACCCTCTCCTTTGCCTTTCCAAACTCCCTCACCACCAGAGCAAGGCACAAGGACTTGGGCTCATAGTGTCCTGGATAAAACTGAAGGTAAACACCAACCTTAGAGAATTCTGCTCTCATCACTCTGGTATCAATCCAGAATAGGTGTATTGGCCACAGTGGAGCTACTCTGGACTCCCACTGGCGTAAGAGAGCAGAATTCAACTCAAAGAATCTAGAACACCGAGGGAGAGAAGGAAAATACCCTGAGAAAACTTTAAGGGTAGTGGCTTCCACTGAACAGCACGGATTAGAACTGAAGAATTCAGTTTAGGTAAAAATCTTCCCAGCTGCCGGCTTTTTAGATGTGCCCAAGGAGTCATGAGCTGTCCTTGTTTTGGGTCATGTAGAAGATTTGATTAGACTCTTTCTCTGCCTTTTGAGGGCCATGAAGGAAGGAGAGATGGGTACTCTTCTGACAGGGCTGTCGTCTCTGAAAGCGCCAGAGCATCAGTATGTAGTGGACGGATGGATGGATGGAATATGGGCAACAGGGCCAGTGCTACCATTAAGGCAAACTAGGCGGTTGCCTAGGACGCCAAGATTTGGGGGCGCCAAAAAGCGGTGCCCCCAATTTTTTTTACAGAGTTCCTGGGCTGGGCTGCTTGCAGCGCGCTGACACGTGCAGCTCAGACTCCCTCTCCCAGGGCAGCCCCCGCTCCATGCAATTATTGTCATTGCCAGCAGGGGCAGCGTGTTCGGGGAGGGGGCGTAGCAGAGGTGAGCTGGGGTGGGGAGCTGCCACATGGCTCCCGGGGGGAGCTGCCGCGGGGGAGGTGCCTCAGGGTGGGGGGGAACTGCCGTGGGGGGGGCGCCTCAGGGCGGGGGGGCGAGGAGCTGCCGCAGGGCTGGGGGGGGGCGCAAGGTGGAAGTTTTGCCTAGGGTGCGAAACTTCCTTGCACCGGCCCTGATGGGCAAGATGGGGCACAAGCAGGAGTAGCTAGTGCTGTCAAATTTCTTTTTAAAAGATGAGAACTTAGGAGACACATACATCATGGGGAAACAAATTGCTAACTCCACTTGAGGGACATACCTAGATGAGTTCCGACCAACCTTTGGCATCTCTGTTCATAGCTACCCAGACAGTAGTAGAGGGCAGATGGGAACACGTTTACATATGGCTCTATCTGCCTATAGTCAATCAGTGGGCATCAGGTTTCAGCTCTCCCCCGTCCACTTCTCTTGTTAAGGAGCATGTGCGTGAGCTGGTGGCTAGATCACTCTTCCCTCTTTCTTTGGTCGTGTAGGCCCTTGAAGCTGTCAACACTCAGTTGCGAGAGCTCTACCCCGACAGCGAAGAACTCTTTGATATTGTCCTCATGACCAATAACCACGCCCAGGTCGGAGTCCGCCTGATCAACAGCATCAATCATCACAGTAAGTATGGAACGACCCTGAGCCAGAACCATTGAAATGACTTGGGAGCTGGTGGCCACTGGGTCTTTGGTTAGTGGCTGGGATGGTGGAGAAGCTGGAGGGCAAAGCTTTATCTTCTGTCCCCCCTGCTGCTCCGTTAAACCACCCAGCAAGCCCCAGTCTCCTGTGGCTTAGACTAAAGGTGGTTGTCAACTAACCCTCTCCACTCTTCGAGGGTACCAATACAATGGGATCCAGGTCTGAATCAACCTGGGTTCTGCTTTGGTAAATGGGGGTTTGGCAACATCAGCCCCATTTTGGGCCATCTCTTCTTGGGAGGATTAAGCCAAAATCGGAGCAGTTTATGCAGTTCCTGGGCACTTGGATGGAACGAGACCTGGATCAAACCACACTTGGGTCCTTTCCAGGATCAAAAGCCATCTGATGAGGTTCTGCCATACTCAAACCAACCTTGATTTTGCCACATCCCTAGTTTAGATCTGAGTTCTTGGAGTGAATAACCCCGGGAATGGAAGGAATGATGGGTGGGTATAGAAGCAGTATAATAATAATTCGCTCTTGTCTAGCACTTTGCCTCAGTAGCTCTCAAAGTGCTTTACAAGCAGGTCAGTGGCATTATCCCCATTTTACAGGTGGAGAAACTGAGGCAAAGGGCGGTGAAGTGATTTGCCCAAAGTCACTCCGCAGGCTGGGGTTAGAGCCCAGGCCTCCCGAGTCACAGCCTAGTGTCCTAGCCACGAGGATGCCCTGTCTCTATGTATGTCAATATTGACTCAATACCACGTGCCCCTTTGGGGCTTTCCTGTGTCTGGGAGGAGGCTGGCTCACAGGAGGACACTGCTATGTGTAGTGTGGCGCAGGGGCTCGGTGAAGGGGGTTACTGACAGGTGTTGGGAAACAAGTGGCAACAGCTACTAGGTAGAAGGCGTTGTGTCCAAGCAGCGCTACTGTGACAGGGCTGGCCTGAGCCTCACCATTGCCAGCAGCCATGGGGCCCCCACCTTCTGGTGGCCAGGCTGCCCTGTGCTCATTTGCCATCTCTTTCCTCTGGCCTGGCGTCAGAGGGGGAGCAAATCCCCCGTCTAGTTCACTCCCCCACTAGTGGCAGCTGCTGGGCCCCCTACACGCCATAGCGCCGGATAACAGCCTGGGCCCTTGCTGGCCCATCCCAGCTGATTTGGTGCGTCCGTCCGTCCTCAGATCTGTTCATCGAGAGGTTCTGCATGACGGGAGGGAACAGCCCCACTTGCTACCTGAAGGCCTATCACACCAACCTGTACCTCTCCTCTGACGCCGAGAAAGTGAGTGAGGCCATTGAAGAGGGTGAGTCTGACGGTCAAACCCTGGGTGGTAGTGGGTGGCGGGCACAGCCCACATCACATCGCTCTGGGAGAGCGGTGTAAGGACCTGCAGCCCCGGGATCTCCATCCTCTGGGTCTGTGCAGCAGCTGGGTAGCGGAGGCGTCCCACACCCTGTCTCCATCACACCCCTGCCCTTGCTGAGGCCACGTGGGACCTCTCGTTCCCCTGGAGACAACAGCATCTGCTGATATCTATAGCTTCTCAAAGTGCAGGTGGGCTGCTCTCCTCAGCTGGCTGCTGGATGGATGCTGAAAGCACCTGTAAGATATGCAGCAACAAATGATAGAAACCTATGTAAATCCTGCAATCTTTGTGCCCCCCCCCCATCCCCACTAAATATTAGATCATACCCAGGGCTGTGAAGCAATAGGGCATGGAGGGAGGCTGCCACCTAAACAGAACACTAGATCTTTCATCCAGGGGCTCATGTCTTCACCTAGGTATGGAAGTGCCTCTGGCTTTCCTAAATGCTGATGTGAGGGTCCAGACGCAAGTGTCCAATGTAAGGACCAGTTTTGGCCTGTCTCTGCTCTGTGTGTGTCCAGTTCTGTTGCTCGGCTCTGCAGTAGGAGGACCTGGGAAGCACGGTGGGAAGAGACGTGCCACCTGTCACTTTTCTTTCTCGTTCCCCCCCCCAAGGAATCGCCGCGGCCACCGTGTTCAACCCCAGCAAAGACGTGAAAGTGTCGGAGAACCAGCTGCGGGTGGCGTTTGACGGGGACGCCGTCCTCTTCTCGGACGAGTCGGAGCAGATTGTGAAGGCGCACGGCCTCGACATGTTCTTTGAACACGAAAAGGCTTATGAGAACAAGCCGCTGGCCCAGGTACGGCCGATCGCCCCCCTGACCCGCTCGCCCCAGGAACAGTTCTGGGGCAGGCAGCGCTGAGAACTGGCTGACTGCTCCAGCAATTCCCACTCCATTAGCCCTGGGCACAAGCCGAGGGGGGAGAGCGGGGTGAGGCTGCTGCTGGGTTTCCGAGGAGATGGCTGTGAAAGGCGGGGGAGTTCAATGGGAGTTAGGTGCCTAAAGACCTCTGAGGATCTGGGCCTCGGTTCCTATATGCTTGGCTAGAGGATTCCCACAGCAGGGACAGGGCCTTTCCCAAAGCATGGAGATTGGGGAAGGGATGAAGGTAGCTGTGAATGACAGTGTCTCTTTGCTTGGGTAGGGGCCGCTGAAAGGCTTTCTGGAATCCCTGGGGAAGCTGCAGAAGAAGTTCTACTCCAAGGGTCTGAGACTGGAGTGTCCGATTCGCACCTACCTGGTCACTGCCCGGAGCGCTGCCAGCTCTGGGGCTCGTGCCCTAAAGACTCTCCGCAGCTGGGGACTAGAAACCGACGAAGCCCTGTTCCTGGCCGGGGCCCCCAAGGGGCCGCTGCTGGAGAAGATCCGTCCGCACATCTTCTTCGACGACCAGATGTTCCACGTGGAGGGGGCGAAAGAGAGTGGCACCATCGCGGCCCACGTCCCGTACGGCGTAGCACAGAAGCAGAGGCGGATGGCGCAAGAGAAACAAACCAAGAACAGCAAGTAGCGTTGCTGGCGGTGACTGCAGGTGCTCGCTGGTTGGGTAGCTCCCCAAACCATCCCTGACCATGGCACCGTGCGTGGATTGATATCCGGGTCGGCAGGGGCTGAGCGTCTTTGTTGATTAGTATTGAAGTTGTAGGTGCCTTGTCCGGGTGGGTTGAAGGAAAGGTTTCCTTTTGCCTATGTGTGTTGCACTTTATTGACCGTCTCTGACCCTCCAGCCCCACATCACCCCCCCACGCATAAAGGTCAGAAGGGTCAACCAATGCCTAATCCCTCCTCTGCTACTTTTGCTCCTGCGTCTCACCATCAGCCATTGCTGACTTGTGCCACATTGGCTGTCACCTCATCTCCACACCTGCCTCAAAACCCTCATGCCTAAGCCCAGCACCAGCCATCCTGACCCTGCTGTGCCTCCTCTGGGGTTCCGGGGCCCATAAAAACCCAGAGAGGAGCTCACGCTTAAGTTCTGCACCAGATGTTCTCCACAAAGCTTGGAGAACTTAAACCAAAACCCAGCCAGACTTGATAAGTCTACAGGAGGGGGGACCTTGCATTGGACAGGATCTGTGAGAACAGGGCTCCCCGTCTGTGGATCTTCTATTCCAACCCAATTTAAACTTTTGGTGCTCATTTAAAAAAAACCAGGGAAATTCCCAGTCCAAGAACTTTGATATATTAAAAATAAGAAGAAGTCAAGGCTGACAATGTGTTTCAGTGGACTCCAGCTTACACGCAGGAACAATGATCCGCTATTGTTACAAAACAGTGACCGTTTCAAATTTTAAACGGACTGGAAATGAGGTTGAGGGATGCAGCCAATTTCCCACCACTGTTGCTACCCCCCCCCCCCAACCTTCAGTTTATCTGCTCATGTTTGGGACAACAGAAACTCTAGATAGGAAAATGTCAAGCCCTATTTCCTAGTCAGCGTTTTGGGCCACTCTGTGATGGCCCAAAGTTGGGTGCTACTATTGGATACCTAAATCCATAAGTGGCACCTGGAAAAAAGGCATCTCAGCCTGAGCATCTGAAAATTGAGCCACATAAAATCAGAAGCCATTTTTCAAAATGTGGCTTCCTGGCCTCTGGACCCAGGCTGGGAATATGTGTAAACTGAAAGACCGCCCTAACCTATGGTGGGGGAGGGGGAGAGACAGATATTTTCTTGAAATCGACAATTACATCAGCTGAGAATTTGAGCCTGAGTCTTTCCTTAACCATAGCCACATTCAAGTTTCATTCAAACCGAGGCCACTGTGCAATTGATCGTCCTTCTCCTGGTACTTTCCTAAAACCTGTGGTGTCTCCTGAAGCAGACAGATGCCGCTAACACAGTGGGAAAGAATTTAATCCCCAATTCCGAGAGGTTTCAGAGGGGTAGCCGTGTTAGTCTGATGAGGTGGGTTCTAGCCCACAAAAGCTTATTCCCAGATAAATGTGTGAGTCTCCAAGACGCCACAAGGCCTCCTCGTTGTTTTTGCCACTTCAGAAAGGAATCAGTCCGGGAACTGTTGAAAGCAGTGTATGGAATTCACTCACCATTCTTATGCGAAGGTGCAGACTGGAGGAACGATAGAAGGTTAAAGATCATTTTGAAAATGACTCCTTCCCTGTGGTGGTGGTCTAGGTAGCACAGTTAGCAATGGCCATGGTTAAGATTGCCTGGCACTGACCATTATAAGACCACGTTTTCAATTGCTTATAACTTTACCAAACTTCGACCATTTCATTTGGGCTGAAATGTTCCACATGAGGTGGCTGCCTCTGGCTGACTTTTTTGCCCATTTTCAGTTAAAATGGTGCGGCCATTTCCAAGGATGAGATTAGGGCTGGGGTTAGTATGTATCAACTGAAATAATATTAACAATCAACCATACGCTTCACCACTTATCCTGTTGGTTTGTTCCTTGCACTAAATCCTGCTTGGACAATGAAAGCACTGGTAAGTTTTTTTTTTTATCTTGTCTCTCTGCTCAGTTTCACGTTGAGATTCACTCTGCTGCCTTGTTGGGGTTGCAGACACCTCAGGGGAAGGTTTTAAATCCAAACCAAAAAAACTGTAAAGAAACAAAATATCACAAAAGCATTTCTATTCATATTCAGTTTTATGAAAAGTAGGAGGAGGTTCGGTTGGGGTCAAAACTGTCTGACAGGGATCCTTCCAACCAGCCTGTCGGATACATGCAGGGCTTCCATGTAAACATCCCCAAGGTGCTTCCTGTCGATTGGCATTGACTGACATCTTTGGAAGTTCTGCCAAGTGCAAGCAGTCCAAGTCAGATCTTCCCCCAAGTCTAGAAGATGACATTGCAACAGGAAGTACTAGTTGTAATGAAGACCAGAACGGTCTGCTAACATGTATGAAATTGTATCTGTCTGGGTCTGGGACTTGTTGAAATATTGGCGTGGGGGCAGGGGGAGTGTTGTGATTGAACATAGCCATCTGTGTACGTGTGTATATGGGAGAGTGATTGTAACGGGTGGTCTTGTGTGTGTGTGTGTTTGAAAGAGAGAGATTGTACATGGATGCATGTGAGTATTTGTGTGTGTGTGATATCATATACTTGTGTGTGTCAGAGAAAGAGCGATTGTACATGGATGCGTG